AGCACACTGGTAGATGCACCTCTAGTTGCAACACAATGAAAAAACCCACAATTGTGATATAATTTATTTCCCAAAATGATTAACACGAATCTAAACTTTGGAATCAATCAAAATAATCCAAACTGTGGGGTATTTTACAACAAAACTCACCAGGCTTCTTTAAAATTTCAATGTCATGCAAGTGAAAAAGCAGTGGAGTGAACTAGATGAATGGAGACTCAATAGACAACAGTATTTATGCACGATGGATAAACACCAGTTGGATTCCAGAAACACACGAGAGACAGCCATGAAAGACATTCTGTGGACAAGGTGGGAAATTTAAATGTGGGCTGTTGATTAAATGGTATTATTGACTCAATATTAATTTTATGAGTGTGATAATGGTATTGTGGTTATATAGGAGGATGTCTTTTTACTTGGAAAATGTGTGCAGAAATAGTGGAGATTCAGTTGGAATGTTATCTGCAACATATTTTAAAATATTTCATCAAAACGTGTGTGTGTAGAGAGAGAGAGGTATAAAGAAAAAGATTGTTCAAAGTACTATTCTTTCAACTTTTCTGTATCTATAAAATGTTTGAAAAGAAAGATGAGATAAAGGAACAATTAAATGTGTGTGTGCATGGAGACCAGAGAGAGAGAGAGAACAAGAGAGAGAGGGAGAGAGAAAGACAGAGAGACAGAGACCGAGAAACAGACAGAAAGACACAGAGAGAGAGAGAGAGAAAGAGAGAACTGGGGAAAACAAAAGGCAAATAGGTCTCATGCCCTGGGGCAGTACAAGAAAGTAGAATTTATCCACCCTTTTGAAACAAATAACAAGCATGTCCACATTAAGCAAAAACAAAAGAAGTTGAAAAGGCATGATAAAGAGTAAAATACTCCTCAGGGGGAGAAAACCTGATACAACATGTAAGACTCAGAGGCAAATGAAGAAAATAAAACGGAGAGAAGAGAAAGAAATTTCCCACAACTGCTTCAAGTAGTAGAAACTCTTAGGATGATATAAATTTAAAAGGAATCAAATCTCAAGGATAAAAAACCAAAAACATGATAAAACAGTTGAATGAGGTTAAAAAGGAAATTAGAGAAGGATAACTGAGAAGCAAGTAGCACAATTCCAAAATTTCAGAATTAATTAGAAACAACGAGGGGAAGACTAAGCAAAGTTCAGAAGAGCCTCCAGAAGGAACTGACCCTTCAGACTCCTTGATTTTGGAATTCTGCTGCCCAGAAACATTGGAGGATAAAGTAATTGTCTGGCATTTTAGGCCCCCCGGTGTGTGGAATTTTGTTACAGCAGCCCAGGAAACAAAGGCAGTAAAAATTAAGGAATGACAGAGTACCCTGTTGAGAGAAAAATTTGAAACAAAGTTAGTCTTGTGGTATTAATAAAATTTGGTAGATCTATTTTGAGTAGAATTTTGGAAATTACTGAACTTTAAAATTTCCATGACACAGCAATTCCAAAACTGTTTCTAGCATAGAGAAATTCCCACCTATTTGCATATTTATTGAGTATTATAATAGCAAAGACTGTAAACAACCTTGACATCCATAAGAGACTTGCTAAATAAATTGGTATTTTAAAATACATAGTACTATAGGGCCGGTCCCATGGCTGAGTGGTTAAGTTTGCACGCTCTGCTTAGGTGCCCCAGGGTTTCCCCAGTTTGGATCCTGGCCACAGAGCTACACACCGCTCATCAAGCCATGCTGTAGCGGCATCCCACATAGAAGAACTAGAATGACCTACTGATACGGGCTCAGTGAGTCAAGGAGTCGAAAGAAAAGTTTCTTGGACTCTCAAGGTCTAGCAGTAGTGCTCTTTTATTCAGAGAATAGTATGGAATAGCATGGGGACAGGACCCATGGGCAGTAAAGAGCTGCAGGCATGGGGACAGGACCCTTGGGCAGTAAGAGCTGCAATGTGTTGAGGGTTAGAGTTAAATTTATAAGGCATAAATATGTGAGTTATTTCTTTACAAGACAAAGGAAAGATCAAAAAAATCGTTAACATGGTATGACTGCAGGTGGGATCTGGTTATTGGGTGGTCCTGTAACTTTAGATAAGAAATGAGATCGGATTAAGTCAGGACGTCCTATGCTTCCTGGAGGATGATATAGATCCAAAGGTAGGGCAGGGCACCTGGGACTTCTCTCCCTGGGGCACTCTTGATCCTCATCACTACAACTAGGATATACAACTATGTGCTGGGGCTTTGGGGAGGAAACAAAACAAAAGTAAAATAAAATAAAACACATAGCACTTTCCAGCTGTTGAAAACACTGCATTAGGTCCACATGTAGTAACATGCATTCTAGAGATATTGTTGAATAAAACCAATTAAAGATAGCCTCACAAATATGATAGCATTTTTGCTAAATGTAATAAAATTGAAACCAAAAAATGCTAGATATTTGCTAGGGTACGTGTATATGTTGAAAATAAATAAGAGATGTGGAAGGCTAAACATCAAACAGATAATATTTTATTTCTGGGAGTTGAAGGGAGAGGCTAAGAGAAGGGACTCTGGGTGTCCATCAACAACATTTATTTCTATTTATAATGTTTATATTTTCAAGAATTCTATAATCATGTGTTACTATTTTTAAAATTCACTATTATCATTGATATAAAAATTATTGATAAAATAGAGAAGTCAAAAAATAAACCATAGAAAATCCAATTAGGATAATTCTCCTAACATGGAGAAAGTATTGAGTCTGGAGATGAAATGAGCATAAAGAAAATTTTAAAAAGAAAAAACTTGAGGAGGATTGGGCAGCATTTGGCTCAGGGCTAATCTTCCTCAAAAAAGAAAAAAAACTTCACTGGGTAATATCCAAATTATTTAATTTCAAAATTACATGAATAATTCTTCAGGTAGCCAGACCAAAAGAGAAAGCTACATACAACAAAGAATCACCTCTCTCCACAGCAATTTTTAATATAAGAAGAGAACTTAGCCAGATATTGAATTTGAGACACACATTCTATACCCAATGAGGATAACAGAAGTACAAAAATATCCTCAAACATGAAAAAAAAACCTCAGGGAAAATAACACCAATGGACCTTTAAAAACGTTGAATGATTAGAGCTGGCCCTGATAGCCTAGTGGTTAAAATTCAGCATACTCCACTTTAGCGCCCAGGTTCAGTTCCCAGGTGCAGAAGCAAACCACTCATCTGTCAGTAGCCATGCTGTGGTGGCAGCTCACATAGAAGAACTGGAAGAGCGTACAACTACACACAACTATGTATTGGGGCTTTGGAGAGGGGAAAGGAAGAAAAAAGGAGGAAGATTGGCAACAGATGTTAGCTTAGAGAGAATCTTCCTCTGCAAAAAGTCCAGTGATTAAATCCAACTAAATTCAATAAAATTTCAAATAAATTTAGCCACTGTTCTTGGCTCCCCTCTTTGCCATTAATAGAATATAAACCATTTCATAATTATGTCTATTTCCTCTTTTTTATTTGATTTTGCTCTCTTTTATTTTACTTGGCATCTCTATAAGGTTTATTTCCCTTTCCTCAAACTGTCTGTGTTTCTTCAAAATCTGAAAATGTAACTCCTTCAATTTTTACTATATAATATTCACATTTTTCTTTCCTCTTACATAATAAATTCCCCCTCTAATCACTATTTTTCATTTTTATTGCTTTCAAATATTTTTGTTAACATTCGATGATCTTTTATACAATATGTCTGTGATGATGAGTCATTTCTTGGAGTCAAGTCCCTTTAATTTACTTCAATTAATTTTCTTTTGTTAAAATAAATTAAAAATAAATTTAATAGATTATCTTAAAAGTAAATAATTGGTATGATATTTTTATGGCAATATTTCTATCACTCTATTTCTCTGAAGTATCTGAATCACTGTAAAAAGAGATCTCTGGAAAGACATTCACCAAAAGTTAATGATGGTTATTTCCGATGGTGAGATTATTTTTATTTTTGTCTTGGTTTTTACTTTCGTCTCTATGCTTTCTTCTCGGTGTTACTTCAGTTTTTCAGGTAGTTCTTTAGGTAGATAACATTAAAACAAATTCAACATGTCAATAATATAAAAGTGTAGGTTTTTAAAGTAAAAACTCTGTCAAAGATACAGAACTGACTAACGCAATATTTCATCCAATAAAGATTTGTTGTGTCACCTACAAATTGAGTGTCTATTATGCATTATGCTTTAGGGGAAACTGGGAAGGAGCTTATTTCATAGATCATCTGGAGGGTGAGACAGAAAAGAAGTAGAGAAAGACAAAAAGCAATCAACCAAAAACTTTGGTAAGTATAAGGAAGAAACAAAGAGAGTATTAGATTAGAGGATAATTATTTTGTGGGAAAGAGAGCTGATTTAAATAAAGAGGAGGCAATAGAATGATCTCTGTGGAGATGATCTTGCTCAGAAACAAAGAAGAAAAGGAGTTGTCCATGTGAAGAGGCTTCCAGGCAAACACAGCCGGTGCTGCAGCCCTGAGACCATGGAGAAGCCTGAGGTGTGAAAAGGTGAGGAGGCTTTAGAAGTTATCAGGGCCTAGGTCTGATAGGTAAGATGAATGATTTTTGAAAGAAAAATAGGTTTTATTATAAATGTAAGGAAAGGCAGTTGGAATATTAAGCAACTGATGATCAAATACGTAAATTAAAATGTCACTCTGGGGTCTGGAGAATGAATTGGAGGATTCAGTAATAGAAACGTGGTGATCAATCTGGAGGCTACTGAGAAGTCCAGGTGAGAAATGAAGATGGTCCAGATGAACCTTTTCAAAGTGATGTTAGAGAAAAGAGGACGAGCATGGAATCTGCCCGTAGGTGGAATTATCAGAACGTGGAGAGAGGAAAAGGAGGAATGAGGTTACCATCCAGCTTCTGCTTTGATAAATTGGGTACACAGTGACAGCTAGTACTGAGATAGTGACAAAAAGACTTAGGAGAGAATCAAGTAAAAGTAAGAAATTTAGAGAAATATACAATAGGGAAAAGCTGAAAAGAGCCAGAAACTCAGGGAAATTCCAACTTTTTTGCAGTGTCTAAACCTTGAGAAGGAAAGAAGAAAGGAATGAGAACAGCTGTGCTCAGACACATGCAATTCTATCCACCACTGCATTTGTACGTTTTCTCGCTCACTGATCTTGCATGATTGGCACAGTGGACTCTGCTCCAGCGGCAGTCAGCCACAGGATTTTTCTACCACTTCATGATTTCACAGAAACATTCAGGGACAGACTCAATAGATTGTTTCTTTAGCTAATCATTCTTGATTAATGAGATGAGCCCTCAACCAAGTCAGGCATAGAATCTTGCCAACAAAGAGACTGCCCAAGAATATTCAATCAGTTGATGCCTCCCGGCAAATATTAACAAACAGCGTTGAGAAGGATACAAGCTCAGCTTTGCGGCACTCGCTACCCTTGGAGTGGGAAGGTAATGGATGTTTATCCGTTCATGAAAACTCATTTATTTCATGGTACATTTTAAAATAGACTTCCTTCCCTCTCTGACAGTTTCTGGTGATTAGAATGTAGTTTTACTTTCTTTTTGGAGTCCTGGTCTTCCTGTGAAATACAGCAAGCCTCTGAGGCAGTGTTCTTTACCTTCAGAGTCTGTTCCTGGAAGATGTAAAGTTCTAGAAGTAATGAGTTTAAAATAGAATTGTATTTTTCCCCAGAGATCTTTCTCTCTGAAATACATTTGGCTATATGTATTAAGACTAATAAAATTGTTATAGTTTTGCCCTAATGACATCACAGCTAGATATATACTTCTAAATAGTAATGAGATGCACAAGACTGACATAGAATGATATTTGTTGCAGTGTTATTATATTAGTTTAATAATTAGAAATTATGTAATTTACAAATAAGGAGTAAATATTGTATATAAAGTATGATTTCAACTTTGTAATAAAATAATCCTATGTACATATATGCATACAAAAAAAAAGACCATTAGAAAATGTATCAAAATGCCAACATTGTTGATTTCAGGTTGTAGAATTTTTTACAATTTTTTTCAATACTTGTCTATTGTCCAAGTTTCAGTAAATAGCATGTATTGTTTAACATTAAGAAATATAAGTGCTATACAAATGGAATAATTTGCAGTAAGAATGTAAATATGTAAAAAATATATATATATAGCATAGTGATCCAAAATCATAAGGGCGCATATTCTGAATAGTCCCATAGTCCAAGTTAACTTGGAAACCTATCACTCAGTCCAGAGGAAACGAGGAGAAAAAGCAGCCAGACTCTGCCTTTTGGAGAAAATTGTAGGAGCTTCTGAACTCTCGTAAAGAAGCTGGTGCTTGACAATACCAAGATTTTTGGTGCATAGATGTGGCAAATCGGATATAGAACTCCACTACTAAAACTGAAAAGCCAACCTCTTGTGTCTGCATACCTTCCTCCGTAATCTTGTCCTTATTTAGACTTAATGTCTACATCTACAACACTGTAACTTTACATATCATGTTTTCCAGCCAGTGAAATCTACTGGCTTTGTCCTAAAGGATCCATTCTCATTCTCAGGTTATGCTTATGTTTTACCATATATTTCATTTTCCTTCCTTTGTGCTTAAATTAATACAACGTACTTTACACATAAATTATAACAAGTCCTGTTGACAGGTCAAGTACTTAAAATTTTTATGAATTGAATTTTATGGATTGAATATTATTGAATTGAATTGAACTAATACTCTTCAAATGTTTTCATATGTAACATGCAGTCTTTCTATGTTTGCTTTGAATATCCCTGGGTGGCCGTGATGCTGGGGGATAAATTTTAGGTTCAGCCAATGTGGCATAAAGGTAGAGGTATTGGTCGCTGTAATATTTTTGGATAATTTATTTTAGCTCCTAGGAATTTCCAGGTACTCGAGGGATTTTTAGTGCATTGCATGTAAAATGCTGCCGATTCAACCAGGACTCTGCTCACCTAAAATGTTGCTACCAACAACAAGATGTCATTGGTCAGCAGGGACTATTTTAGACCTCTTTCTAAAGCAATAAAAGAGTCTTGTACTTATTCCCCAGAATCTTTATGAAGACAGTACAGATGGTTGGGAGTAAGTGAGGCAGGTACTGATTAGCATGAAAGTCGGGCATGCGGAATTCTGGGTGAACTGCAGAGACATGTGAGACATCCTCATTCATTTCCATTTCTGCCTCAATAAGGAGGTCAAACAGACCTTTTCCTGGGAAAGACTAAGTCCAACAAAATCTTCTTTTAACATCTGAATTGTACCAACTTATTCTGTGTATCTCGCCCTGGTCCAAGTTCGTTTGTTGTTGGCTGTTGGTCATTTTTGCATTACAGAACAAAAACAAAAACAAACACAATGACCTGTTTCTGTCTGCAGTTGCCCGAAGTGAGAATGAAATGGCCCATCCTTGGGCTGGAGTGTCTTACTTCCTCTATAAAGCCTATAATGGCAGCCAATTCCCATATCACAGGAGGTGAAAATTGCACCCTTTTTGCCTCAGTTTTAACTGAATTTCTAAGACAGTTGATAGAAATTACTTCTACATAGCAAAATGAAGCATGAGACTCCCCTGCAGGACTATAAGCAAAAAGGACCAAATCTGGCTGTGTGACTTGTAGAACCCTCCCTCTTTTAGAGGAACTGGAGACTGGAGGGGAGTTTTTGCAGGAATTCATGCATAAGTGGTGAGTCCCCCAATTCGAGACATGGGGTGGGAATGGGCTACTTTTCCCTGACTTCAAACCTAGAGAAAGTTCCCTCAGTGAAACCTGAGCTCAATATGTGTCTCCTGGGGCTTAAACAACCCAGAAGACTAGTTGGTATCTGCTTTACACCCAAGAAATCTAATAAGGAAAATGCTGTGGCCTGGCAGGGAGCGTACAATATTGAGAATGATCTAATTACCCTACCTGAGACCCTCTCTACCTCACCATGGTCCCATACTCTATCTCCTTGCCCTAATTTCACTCCTTGCACTCATTTCTAGCTAACACATTCAGATTTATTATTCATTGATTTCCTCTCTTTCACTACTTGTAAACTCTCTAAGAGCCTGGGCCTCACCTGCCTTGTTTACTGCTTCACCCCCGCACCTGGATAAGAAACTGACTCTAAGATCAAAAACCCCAGCTGACAGAGCATCTGAACGTTTACTGAAATGTGGGGGTATGTGGAGATGGAAATGTTTTCCAAGCAGTTCCTGGGCCTCCCTAAGGCCTCAGTAGCTCAGTCTAAGGACCAGGCTGATGCTAACGTGACCGTCCACTATTATCCCAATGAAAGTTTGAGAATACAACCAAGCAAACACGATGACTGTCAGTACAATCGGGGGAGGCAAGTAGAGGTGTGGGAACAATGCCTCCCCCAATTGATGTGAGAACTTTAAATAAGGACATTCAGTATAGAGAAATCTGACATCTCCTATCACTGGGCTGCCATAATAATGGCTAATGGTTATTGAATACTCTCTTCCAGGCTTGACATTTAGTAACTTAATTTACCTTCACAGCAAAGCTAGGAGGAAGTTAATCTTTTCCTTGTTTTGTTATTGTTTTTGCTGAGGAAGATTTGCCCTGAGCTAACATCCGTTGCCAATCTTCCTCTGTCTTTTTGGGTTTTTTTTGCTTAAAGAAGATTAGCCCTAAGCTAACATCTGTGCCAATCTTCCTCTATTTTTTTGTACATGGGACACCTCCACAGCGTGGCTGGTGAGTGGAGCAGGTCCACACCCAGGATCCAGAACCGTGAACCTGGTCCACTGAAGCAGAGTGTGCAGAAGTTTAACCATTTGGCCATGGGTCCCAGCCCGGGAAGTTACTCTGTTTAGACGCATTTTTCGGAAGATATATTAAGGCACAGAATTAGAATTAAGAAAAATGTTTCTCTTATTTTTAATTGAAAAAAATCTTATGGCAAGTATGTAGCTGCCTTATACATTTTTTGAATTACAGTAAAATTTTCCAAAAAGTCCACGATTTAGAAAATATTGCATCAAATTAAAAAAAAACCCTCAGTAATAATACATTTAAGTCCATTTAAAATAGGACAACATTAAAAAGATGTTTATTATAAAGACAGGAAAAAGAAATTAGATTGTAGAAAGAGGTAAAAAAGGTATACCAGATATCTGGGTCTTGTCTGAGATACAATATTTGGTCACAAAGTTTAGATCACAGCTTCCTAAGAGGCAAGGGATCAGGAGAGGATGATATGTTGTATACAGAGCAGACCAAATTATCTGCCCAAAATGGATGTCGTCTGACATGATTGGAGGCATAATTTTTTTTTGCACTATTCTTATGTAAAATACATTGTCATACTATAAAATGAATAGTCAAGATCTTTGTCAAAGAGAAAGCTTTTTGGTGGTCAAGAGAAACAAAAAGATTTAGGTCTGCCTGAGGAGGCAGGCTTGATGATCAATGATCCAGATTAGAAACTTATGCTTTACAATGAAGTTATATCTCAGTAATTACTATGGTTCGCATAATTTAGTAAGTTAAGGTAGCTTTTGATGCATTCTGAAAACAAATGAAGACACAAATACATCTGGTCTAATTTTCAGCTTGGTTCAATATATTTTGCCTTTAAGGCATTGATCTATAAGGACACTGCAGTGACAACCTTTCCAGCCAACGGGAGGAGGGAAACATAACCACTGCATTGAAGGACCTCCTTAGCTGTTTTTGTTTATTCATCTTCTTGATATCCTAAATATAACATTTTTCTTATTATAATGGCGAGCTAAATTTTGACCAAAAAAGGTCTCTCATTTTAGAAATGTTTCTCTTTTTAATTTTGCAATGGAAATCCCCTATTGAGTGAGGAGATATAAGTTAAAAATATGCAAGATGTATATCAATTGACCAGTGAGAAAAATACTAAGGATAAGTGTGTTGCTGGAGAGGTGCCACCCCATCTGGGGACTGGGAGAAATGCGATGGCTTCCCTTCACTACGTCCCAAAGATTAAGGAGAGATGGGTGGCATGACTTTTCAATGACTACTCAAGTTACTGTTAAGCTATAACAATGTTTTCTCCCTATTATTAAACAGTAAAATACTGCCAACTTTAAATGATATTCTAGCAGAAAGGTTAAATTGTATTGAGAAATTTAACTTATGTCAATCTTTTAAGAAAGTTATTCCTTTCATCACAACAAAACTGAAAACTGTCGCAGCAAAACTGAAATGAAGGAAGAATTAGGAGATGCCCAGGTCCTATCAGAAGCCTAGAACAGGGAAGTTGTTTGGTGTGACCAATCAATTGCAAGTGGCTTTCCCAGCATCTGATGGCTATTACATTTATAGCGAGCTCCTACCTCGTCCTCGAATGCCTTCTTGATGAAATGTCAAGTGTCCTCATCAGCAGTGGAGAGCCGGTCAGAATAGCTCATCATCTGCATGGTCCCAGAGTATGTGCTGCAGGCCAAGTTTAT